GAGAGACTCTGTCTCAAAAAAAAAAAAAAAAAAAAAGAAGAAGAAGAAGAAAATTAGGTTAACTTAAGGTGGCCAGTGTAAGGAGCTAGGCAGCTATGGAGATTCTACACTTGCTTACACATTGGTTGTGGGGTGTGAAGGAGTCAAGAATGACCCCAAGGTTTTGTTCTGAGCAGCCGCAAGGATGGAGTCAGCTGAGATGGGGGACGACGGGAGGAACGGGTCTGGAAGGAACTAGGAGAGTAGTGAACGGCCAGGCTAGGTGGCTCCCATGTGTAGTCCCAGCTACACCGGAGGCTTAGGCATGAGGATTGCTCCAGCCCAGGAATTCAGGGCCAGCCCGGGCATCACAGCCACACCCAACTCTAGAGCTCTATGAATGAAAAGTAAACGAACGAATCACTGGGAACTTCCTCTGAAAGTGTGGCGCAAAAGGCCCTTCCAGCACCTTCTGTTCTTTGTCAGCGCTGGAAAGTCCCCTAAGGAAAGAGCATAGCGGTTCCTTTAAGAGAAGCCCCGCCCAGGCAGGGCCACGTACCCAAAGCCTAGCACTTGGGGCGGAGTCCCGGCAGTTTGAAAGTCTAGCGCGCACCCTGGAGCGGCGGTTTGGCCTGCAACTGGGATGTCGGTGTTGAGACCACTGGACAAGCTGCCTGGCCTGGACAGTGCCACCATCTTGGTAGGTGCAGACGGCTCCACTTCTCTGCCTGCCTCTCCTCTGCTGCCCGCAGTCGCCCGGCCTCTGCGCTCTGGGAGGTACAGGCGCTGACTGTTCGGGCCCGGGCCCAGCTCAACCCCGCCCATTCGCCAATCATAAGCTGGTAAAGAGTTCGCCGCGGACCTATTGGTGGATGTGTCCCTCCTCTTCAGGGAGTAGCTACTCGGATTAGCTCAGAGCCTGGCTCTCCCGCCTACCACCCCCATCGAGTGCGGACATGATTTTTACGCACAGCAGAGCAGGTTTCCTTACCCGCAGAGGCCTGACTTTTGGAGGGAGGGTCGGGGAGGAGTCCGTGCGGTGCCAACAGGCGCGGAGCGGGTCCAAACCTCAATCCTCCAACCCGATCCTCCTCGCAAAGGTCCTCTTCTCGGGAAATGGCACCGTCTGAGCTGCCCTGGAGCGGTGGCCTGATCTCCCAGGGAGTAGTTCCAAGTGCCAGACCCTCCCAAAGGGTTGCTGTGCCCTAGTCTCAACCGGTCTCTTTCTCTCTCCGGGCAGCTGGTGGGCGCGGAGGATGCTCAACTACAGCAGCTAGCGGACTCGATGCTCAAGGAGGACTGCGCCTCCCAGCTGAAGGTGTAAGTAGCTGCAACTGTGTCCTGAACTTTGGGTGGGGTCTGAGGGACTGAGGAGACAGGGGCCGGGGCACGGGGGTGCCTGTTGGCTAACTCCTTCTTGACATGCCTTTGCCCTCGCTGAACCTGCCTGTCGTTCTGCCCCAGAGCTGGCGCCTTCTCCCCTTCAGATGTGCATATACCGCAAGCAGGACCCCACTGAGCACTTGGTCTAAGTAAGGTAGCCTCCATCACTCTCTGCCACCACATATGTTCTGTTTCGCTCATGGAACTTGTCACAGTAAGAAATTAACTGTCCAGAAGAGAATTAAAAAGAAAGAAGGAATTACCTGTCCACCTGCAACCAATTAAGCCGATTGAGTTCCTTTCCTCATGGGGACCTAGTACAGCAAGCTCCTTGGGAGTATAAGCAGCCTGATGCTTGTATGGATTGCTGTCAGGGACCGTGGAAACAATCCTTTCCAATATGTGTTCACGTGTCTGACTGTGTGCTGTCCCCAGCCTAGGCTCCAAACAGTTATTGTGGTGCCTTTGGAAAGTCCCAGGACACTGTGGCCAGGATTCTTATTGACCAAGTCATCATGTCCATACACATCAAACTGCAGAATAAGGAGCATGTGATTGAGGCCTTAAACAGGGCCAAGTTCAAGTTCCCTGGCTACTACCAGAAGAGTCACATCTCATAGAAGTAGGAGTTTACTAAGTTTAGTGCAGATGAATTTGAAGAAATGGTGGCTGAGAAGCAGGTCATCCTAGATGCCTACAGGGTCAAATACATCCCCAGTTGAGGCTGCTTAGACAAATGGCAGGCCCTGTATTCACTCTTAAGGGCTTCTACTGTGCTGCTGCCTCATGTGCACCTACCAATAAATCTTACTTTTTGATTTTATAAAAGAAATTACCTGTCTATTTGTCACTTTACAAGGTCCATTCTGCCACATGGATGAGAGTCAGGCCCCTGAGGGCAGGAACATTGACCCTTGTTCACTGGTGAATCCCCAGTGCCTTAAGTAGTAACTGGCACAGAGTAGATGCTCAGTTAATAATTGTGGAATTAATCTGGTTAATTCAAGATTCATGAAGGCTTTTGAGAGGAGGGGATGCTGGAAATGTCTAGAGATTAGTAAAAGTGGAAGACAAAGATTCCTCAGTAAATATGGTGAAATAAAGCTGACTACAAAATTTTCTTCCCCTCAAACTTAATGAATGAATGGGAAAATAACAAAAATCAGCAAGCTTCAGTGGCAGCGAAATATTCTGGCATGGTATGCCTGCTACCCCTACTCCCACAACAAAAGTCTGAGAGTTCTTTAATATCCCTCAAATTTGGAGAAAAGATAACTTTTGTTTTCCTTCTCCTAACTGGTAAAGGAGTAGAAACAGCTGCTGTTTTAGTCAAGTGACTATGTCGTTGTCCTTGATAGAAAAATAGGCCCAGGGGTCTGTGTTGAAGGAGAATGATCCAAATCCAGAGGATATTTCTCTGAGGACATTGGAATGCCCTTACTAGGGACAATAAACCCCAATATAGCACTTGGAGGACTCTGATGAGGAAGTATAATCTTTCCCTCTAAATAAAGATTGTTCATTGGTCTTTCTGTGCTCCACCTACCTCACCAGCTCTCAGGCTACTGAACATCAAACCTGACCATCAGTTTCGAATTTGTAGCTCAGAAATAGGAAAGGATTAAAAAATATACTTAGGGTGTCGCCTGTAGCTCAGTGAGTAGGGCACTGGCCCCATATATGGAGGGTGGCAGGTTCAAACCCGGCCCCGGCCAAATTGCAACAAAAAAATAGCCGAGCACTGTGGCAGGCGCCTGTGGTCCCAGCTACTTAGGAGGCTGAGGCAAGAGAATCGCCTAAGCCCAAGAGCTGCAGGTTGCTGTGAGCTATGATGTCATGGTACTCTACCAAGGGCGACAAAGTGAGACTCTGTCTCTAAAATAAATAAATAAATAATATACCTAATTAGTATCAGGGTAAGTGGACAGAATGGCCTACACTGAACAAAAACAAGATGGAAAGAAGTGTCATGGGCACTGTTGCAAAAAAAAGGGCAAGTCAGATCACAAACAAAAAAATCTAAGGAAGAACCCACTCTAAAAAACGGAGAAGAAAGTTGTTTTATTTTTTCCTGGTGTTTTGGGGAAATCCCAGGACAGTGTAGAAAAATTACCCTCCAAACTTTGGTTCAGAACCAAAGGATAAATTAGACAAGCCCAACTTGATGAGCTGGATCTGTTTATTAGAGGTTGCTTACAAGGGCTCTTGCTTCTAAGCAGCACGGGAATTTCTTCCACAGGAGCTTTCTTGCATGCAAAATCCACACCACTCCATCTCTTCCCAATGAGTAATGCAAAGTTTTTTTGTTTTTTGAGTCTCATTTTGTTGCCCTCAGTAGAGTGCTGTGGCGTCATAAGGAACCTCAAACTCTTGGGCTCAAGAGATTCTCTTGCCTCAGCCTCCTGAGTAGCTGGGACTACAGGTGCCTGCCACAACGCCTGGCTAGTTTTAGAGACGGGTCTTGTTCTCACTCAGGCTGGTCTCAAGCCGTGAGCTCAGGCAATCCACCCAGAGTGCTAGGATTACAGGCATGAGCCGCTGCACCCAGCCTAATGCAAAGTTTTTACAGTTTTCTTTTTTTTATTGTTCACAGTGAAATAAATAATGCAGGTACAGTACCGTTATCATGCTGCCATGCAACACGATGCACATATTACAGTTTCCCACTAGGCAGGGATTACAGTTAGCTAAAGGGCACGGTAGGACATTCAAAGCAGCTCTAAAGGAGTGAGGGCCAGTTTGAACTGGCTATTTCAAAGCAAGAAAGTGCTGGACACTTTTCCAAGGTGGTAATTATCTTGGTAAGGGCTTAATTACTTTGTAACAACTTTGCTTAGCACTCCAGGCTAACCGGGCACAATGTTTCTGTTATGTGATGGAAAACTTGCCTTTTTCCCTCATCTGTGTATTGAGAAATTTAATAAGAACATGAATTTGAAAGAGAAACATTGAGAGACCAAATAATCAAACAACAGAAAGAAAAAAGGAGGTTGCAGAGTTAAGAGTAAAAAACGAGGGCCCAAAATATTACCATTTGAGATCTAATAAATATATAGAAACACTAAGGATCAGAGTGGATGTAATTGAAAACTCTTTTTTACTATTTACAAAGAGAAAAGATTTGAGGAATTATAACAATGGTGTTTGAAAATATAATAGAAGGCTCGGCGCCTATAGCTCAACCGGCTAAGGCGCCAGCCACGTACACCTAAGGTGGCGGGTTCGAATCCCCAGCCCGGACCCGCCAAACAACAATGATGGCTGCAACCAAAAAATAGCCAGGCGTTGTGGTGGGCGCCTGTGGTCCCAGCTACTTGGGAGGCGGAGGCAGGAGACTCGCTTGAGCCCAGGAGTTGGAGGTTGCTGTGAGCTGTAATGCCACGGCACTCTGCCCAGGGGGACAGCTTGAGGCTCTGTCTCAAAAAAAAAGAAAATATAATAGAAGAAAATTTACTGAAATGAGTGAAAAGTTAAATTTTTCCATTAAAAAGAATATCTTATTTGAGGAAAAATGGATATAGTATACTTGATATCAAGTTATATCCTAGTTAAGGTATTGAACTTAAGGTATAAATAAATTTTCAGGCTTTTAAACAAATATTTTTAATTCTCTGGGTGTGTAGTACATGAGTACATGGCAGGAATAAGTAACTTTTTGGCCTCCTGAACTTGTGACTCATTCTGGTCAGTGAGTTGTGAGCAAAAATCATCTGTTCACTACTGAAGCAGAGAGAGACCCCACCCCACCCTAGGCCCTTTGCCTCTCCTATGGAGACCAGCAGTGCTATGGAGCGGCAGATTTATCAGCCTGAGTCCAGAGTTATAGTTAGAATACTACATAAATTTATATGACGGTAACAACAATAATGTTGATGTATGGCTGGGCCTGGTGGCTCATGCCTGTAATCCTAGCCCTCTGAGAGGCCAAGGAGGATGGATTGCTTGAGCTCACGAGTTTGAGACCAGCCTGAGCAAAAAGCAAGACCCTGTCTCTATAAAAAAATAATAGAAAAACTGAGAGGGCAGCGCCTATGGCTCAAGGGAGTGGGGTGCTGGCCCCATAGGCCGGAGGTGGTGGGTTCAAACCCAGCCCCAGCCAAAAACTGCAAAAAAAAAAAACTGAGGCAAGAGGATCACTTGAGCCCAAGAGTTGGAGGCTGCTGTGAGCTATGACACCACAGCACTCTACCCAGGGCAACAGCTTGTGACTCTGTCTCAGAAAACAACAAAACAATGTTGATGTAATGTACATTTATGAGTCTTGACCAAATGGTAGGATAAAGTATTAGAATGTCAGGTTTATTTTTTTGGTTGTAGTTGTCACTGTTGTTTGGCAAGCCCAGGTTGGGTTCGAACCCGCCAGCTCCGGTGTATGTGGCTGGCGCCCTAGCTTCTGAGCTACAAGCCAATTTTTTCATACTCTTTTAAAAAATGGGCTCCTTAGGCGGCGCCTGTGGTTCAGTGGGTAGGGCAACAGCCCCATATACCCAGGGTGGCGGGTTCAAGCCTGGCCCCGGCCAAATTGCAACAAAAAAATAGCCTGGCGTTGTGGCAGGTGCCTGTAGTCCTAGCTACTTGGGAGGCTGAGGCAAAAAGAAATGCCTAAGCCCAGGAGCTGGAGGTTGCTGTGAGCTGTGATGTCACTGCACTCTACCATGGGCGACAAAATGAGACTCTGTCTCTCAAAAAAAAAAGAGCTCCTTTAGGAAGTAATCTGTATGATTAAGAAAAGTTTATCCGGCTCGGCGCCTGTGGCTCAAGCGGCTAAGGCGCCAGCCACATACACCTAAGGTGGCGGGTTCAAATCCACCCCAGGCCCGCGAAACAACAATAATGGCTGCAACCAAAAAATAGCCAGGCGTTGTGGCGAGTGCCTGTGGTCCCAGCTACTTGGGAGGCTGAGACAGGAGGCTCGCTTGAGCCCAGGAGTTGGGGGTTGCTGTGAGCAGTAAAGCCATGGCACTCTACCCAGGGGGACAGCTTGAGGCTCTGTCTCAAAAAAGAAAAGAAAAGTTTATCCAAAGTTCATCTACTTTTTCAATTTAACTTTAGTTATTTTGCTTTTATTCATTCAAATTAAACACTCCTATCCAGTTTTTAGATCATATTTATTGTCTGGATATGTATATATTATGCACATGAAGGCATGTTTAGAAAATGTTGTAATGCTAACAGTGGTAATTTATAGGGGACTGGACTTTGAGGGGGGTATAGGTTGGGTTTTTTTTTAATGGTCAGTAGTAGAACATTCAAGAAAAGCCTTTGGGTGGGTATTTGATAACTGGAGACCAAGTCCAGATGTCCCAGTTGTGTGCCCCGTGGTCACGTGGTAATTGATAGAACTGGGACGTGAGCCCACATCTGCCTTACTCTAGAGGAGTTCAGTTTTAGCTCTTAAACTTCATGGCCCAACACCTCCTATTCTGAACCAGGTCTCCCTCCTTCCCACCATGCAGGTGGTAACTACATGGCTATAAGTGCATGACATCTTATATCCAGACCTCCTCCTTGCCTACGTGGTTACTAAATAGATCTCCTTTCTGGAAGAGAGAATCAGACAGGAGTGATCCAGATAGGACTGACTCTGTCCTGCCTCTGCACTCACCCAGGGGGTCTTGGCAATAGGAGTCTTGGTTGGGAGCCCTTGACAGCCTCTTCCCCATGAAGGGCAGCGTGTGAACATTCACTATGCATCTGTGTTTAGTCCTGTAATTTCTTGTTTTTCAGCCACTTGGCAAGGTCCCTCCCATTGCCCACCAATGTGAGTCGGCCCCGAATTGATCTGATTGTGTTTGTGGTTAACCTTCACAGCAAATACAGGTGAGAGCAGAGCATGGGGCTGTCAGGACTCAGGCAGACCTGGCTTGGGAGTGTGCTGGGACAGTGACCTCACTTGTAATGGGAAGGGGGGGAGGCTACTGGCTCACACTGGTTGTCCTAGCACTTTGGAAAGCCAACTCCTTGAGGCCAGGACTTTGAGATCAGCCTTGACAACATAAGGAGATCCCGTCTCTACAAAAAACAATAATTAATTACCCAGGTGTGGTAGCATATAGGTGTGGTGCCTATAGTCCCAGCTGCTCAGGAGGCTGAGGCAAAAGGATCTCTTGAGCCTAGGAGTTTGAGGTTTCATTGAGCTGTGATGATGCCACTACACTCCAATCTGGGCAACAAAGTGAGACTTTATCTCAAAAAAAAAAACAAAAAACACCTGAACGATGAGTCAGTCAGGTAAAGATGGGAGCGAGGCCCTCCTGGGGTATGAAGCTGAGGCTATGCAGAGCTCAGAGTCCAGCAGACACTAAGACACCACTAATGCTGTGGTAGAAACCCCCAGGGAGCCAGGAGTGTGGAGATCCAGATACAGGTGGCCTCAGGACTAGTCAGCAGGGGTTGAGGCCTGTAGAGAGACTGAGAAAAAGCTGAGATCTGCGGTGAAGGCTGCAGGGTAGGATGTGTTACCTCAGCAGATCTGTTGCTTTCTGAGTGAGGCCTCTGTGCTCCCTGAAAGGGCACTGGTCTGGTCTTGGAGAGACCCAGCTCTGCACCCTCAGGAGCAGGGTCATTGTGGCTTTTGGCCTCAGGCTGAAACCTTGGCTTGGGCCACCTAACCAAGACGACCTTTTTTGGCCAGGAGTCAACAGTCCCTGGACACCAGTGAATGAAAGCCTGGGCCCAGGAGGTCAAAACATCCCTTGTTTGGAGGAAAAAGAGCATTTTCATACAGTGGTCTGATTAAATTATTGCAACGAATAATGAAAGCACTTTGGTAATACCCAGCTCCCTTTTTTTTGGAGACAGATTCTCACTATGACACCCTAGGTAGAGTGCGGTGGCATCACAGCACACAACAACCTCAAACTCTTGGGCTTAAGCAATTCTCTTGCCTCAGTTTCCCAAATAACTGGGGCTACAAGTGCCCACCACAATGGCTATTTTTATGTTGTAGCTGTCATTGTTTTTGGCAGGCCGGGGCCGGGTTTGAACCCACCAGCCCTGGTGTGTGTGACTGGCACCCTAGCCGCAGAACTATAGGTGCCAAGCCCTACTTTTTTTTTTTTTTGAGACAGAGTCTCACTATGTTGCCCTCAGTAGAGTGCTGTGGTGTCACAGTTCACAGCAACTTCAAACTCTTGGGCTTAAGTGATTCTCTTGCCTCAGCCTTGCAAGTAGCTGGGACTACAGGTGCCCGCCACAATGCCTGGCTATTTTTTTGTTGTAGTTGTTATTGTTTGTTTTCTTAGCAGACCAGCCCCGGTGTATGTGGCCAGTGCTCTAAGCACTGAGATATAGGCGCTGAGCCACCCCATCTACATTTTTTTATTATTATTTATTTATTTATTTATTTTGGAGACAGAGCCTCAAGCTGTCCCCCTGGGTAGAGTGCCGTGGCATTACAGCTCACAGCAACCTCCAGCTCCTGGGTTCAAGTGAGTCTCCTGCCTCTGCCTCCCAAGTAGCTGGGACCACAGGCGCCCGCCACAACGCCCGGCTATTTTTTGGTTGCAGCCGTCATTGTTGTTTTGGCAGGTCCAGGCTGGGGATTCGAACCCGTCACCTTAGGGGTACGTGGCTGGCGCCCTAGCCGGTTGAGCTATAGGTGCTGAGCCCATCTACATTTTTTAAAGACACATGCTATGACCCAGCCATTCTGCTTCTGGGATCTACCTATCCTACAGAAATACTTGTTCAGATGTGCAAAGGATGTGTGTAAAAGAATGTTCACCCTGCATTGTCTGGAATAATGAAAAATCAGAGACCATGTGATGCTTATCACTGGGGAAGCAGATTGTAGGATGCTTGCCAGGCATCCTGAGGAATGCGGGTTTCTGTGTACTGAGTTTGATGATATGTGGAACTCAACTAGACTTTTATACATTCCACTGTCTATTTGAATATGGAAAAAATTCTAGGAGAATTATACCTCAAACTTTGACAGCAGTTTCCTCTGGGGAATTGAGAGTAAATGGTGTTGCTGAGTGGGACTTTAGTTTTTTCTTTTTGAGGCAGTCTTACTCTGTTGCCCTGGGTAGAGTGCCCTGTCATCATAGCTCACAGCAACCTCAAACTCATGGGCTCAAGTGATCCTCTTGCCTCAGCCTCCTAAGTAGCTGGGACTACAGGTGCCTGCTACAACGCCCAGCTAAATTTTCTATTTTTAGTAGAGATAGGGTCTCCCTCTTGCTCAGGCTGGTCTCCAACTCCTGAGCTCAGGCAATCCACCCATCTCAGCCTCCCAGAGTGCTAGGATTATAGGCATGAGCCACTGCACCCAGCTAGGACTTTACTTCTTACATATATATCCATTTTTATAAGCATGAGTCACTTTGTAATTAAAAGTAATTTTGTTTTGTTTTTATTCTTTTTTTTTTTTTTTTTGCAGTTTTTGGGCAGGGCTGGGTTTGAACCCACCACCTCCGGTATTGGGGCTGGCGCCCTACTCCTCTGAGCCACAGGTGCCACCCCTTTGTTTTTATTCTTATTTTGTAGAGGCAAGTTCTCACCCTGTCACCCAGGCTGGAGTACAGTGGCTACATGTCATTGTAACCTTGGGCTTCTCAGCTCAAGCAATCTTCCTACCTCAGCTTCCCAAGTAGCTGGGGCTAGAGGCACATGCCACCTCACCTGGCTTATTCTTTAATTTTTTTTAGAGACAGGATCTCACAGTGTTGCCCAGGCTGGTCTCGAAATCCTAACTTTAAGCAGTCCTCCATCCACCTTAGCCTTTCAAAGTGTTGGGATTACAGGTGTGAGCCACCATGCCTAGAAGTAGTTTTTGAAAAAAGGGATAAAAGCTTCTCCAGGGCTATTTCCTGTCACCTTCCTCTTATTCTCTGACCTTTCTAAGATCAGAGAAGGGGGTTTCTGTTTTCCCTGTGTAAAGTTTGTCCTCTGATCTGCTTTCTCATGCTGGCCTGGCCACCCCAGCCTCCAGGTCACAGAGGAGTCCCTGCACCATGTAGACACCAGTTTCTTCTTGGGGAAGGTGTGCTTCCTCGCCACAGGCGGTAAGTGTGTCCTGCACGTGCCACTGTCCACCCTAGCCAAGGGAAAGCTGTGGCAGTTGTAGATGCCTTGCTGAAGTGGTCTGGGGATGGAGTTGGACTTGTGGTCAGCCTTTCTAAAAGTGGATCCAAACAGAGAATTTTGCTGTTGCTTAGAGTCTCCTAGTGGCTCCCTGTAGCTTTCAGAGTAAAATCCAAACTTCTCCAAACACTTGAAGTACTTTGTGGTTTGGCCTCTGCCTTCTTATCTACTCTCATTAGTCTCTCATTCTTTGAGTTAGGAAATAAAAATAGCCAACTTTTACTGAGTTCTCACTGTGAGCCAGCCATTGTTTGTAGCTGCCTTGTTCTTTATGTCATATTAATATTTGAAGTAGGCATTATTGTCCCAGTTTTTATAGCTGAGGAAACTGATGATGATGTTAACTTGCCCAAGGCCCCCATAGCTAAGGAGTGGTAGAGCTGAGGTTCACACCCAGATAGTCCTATTCCAGGGCCCGGCCTCTTTTTTTTTTTTTTTTTTGGAGACAGAGCCTCAAGCTGTCCCCCTGGGCAGAGCGCCGTGGCACTACAGCTCACAGCAACCTCCAACTCCTGGGCTCAAGGGAGTCTCCTGCCTCCACCTCCCAAGCAGCTGGGACCACAGGCGCCCGCCACAACGCCCGGCCATTTCTTGGTTGCAGCCGTCATTGTTGTTTGGCGGGTCCGGGCTGGGGACTCGAACCCGCCACCCTAGGTGTACGTGGCTGACGCCTTAGCCGGTTGAGCCATAGGCGCCGAGCCAGGGCCCGGCCTCTTAATGGTACTATGTGGCTTCTCTCAAATACTTTTTTCTTCTTTGTGTTGCTAACACCTACAATTACTTCAAAACTCAGCTCCAGTGTCACCTCTGGTACCAATGACATGTCTGACTCTCCAGCTTAAGTGTTAGCTCCTTGAGAGAAGAAGGACTTGGCAAGATTATTCTCAGTAAGCGCTAGGGAAGACATGAAGGCCAGGTCGTTTCTAGGTATCAAGTCATTGGCTCTGGAGTAACCAGTGGGGTAGGAGCTATCATTGTCTAATTTAATAGCCTTGATTACCCAGAAAAAAAGGGTAGAACAGGATTGTCACCCCCACTGACTAGAAAGAAACTGAGACCCAGAGCGGGGAAGTGAATTACTTTGCCTGGCACTCACTGGGTTACAGCCATGAAGGCAGAGGTTACTGCCGTCACTCTCACGGTTTCCTTGCAGCTGGGCAGGAGAACCACTGCAGCATTCATCGGCACACCATTGCGAAGCTGGCCCACACCTACCGAAGCCCACTGCTCTTCTGTGACCTGGAGGTGAGGACACAGCCACCTGTGTTATACTTGGGTACAGGGAAGGGGCAGTCAGCACACAGTGCATCGTCAAGAGCAACTTACTGAATGATCAAGTAGCCAAGTGAGGTGGCTCCTGATGTGGAGGGAGATGAAAGATCCTGCTTTGAATCCGGGCTTTTCTGCTCACTGGCTGTGACCTTGTTCTTTCCCTGGGAGATCAGAGCCACCCCACCCATGCACAGGCCTGCTCAGTTGCTTTGCAAATCTATTTATTAGTTATGAAGTTCATTTTGAAGATTATGTTTCTGCTCTGTTCTGGGTGTCACATCCATTCCCAAAGGCAAAGTGATGTGACCTTTCACTACTGTCTAGACCAGCAGTTCTTATTCTGGAGAACTTGAGTCTGAGGACCAAATTCAAGGAATCTGTGAACTTGGATGAGGAAAAAAAATCTTTTTTTCCTACTACTAAGTGAAATTGAGCATTATGAGTGTAAAAAAGATATGTGGGTAGTTATTAGTAGTGTCTGTGACTGTTGCCAATAGAAATGGCAGGCAGCTGTGTGTGATGCCTATAGTCCCAGCACTTTGGGAGGCTAAGGTGAGAGAATCACTTGAGGCCAGAAATTTGAGGCTGTAGCCTGGGCAACATAGTGTGAACCTGTCTCTATTT